ATTCATGGCAGCAGCATGCAACAGTGCTACTAAAAGTATGCATTTACAGTAAAGTCTTGTCAAACAGTTCCTTGAAAATTTTTTTCTTTTCTTGTTAGGTCTGTTTCCTGATGTAGGTGGTGGATATGTCTTACCCAGAATGAAGGATAAATTAGGTATCTACTTGGCCTTGACAGGTGAGAAGATCATCAACTACTTTACATGTAATCAACTATAATGTGTTTGTCTCACATCATTTTCTGGCTGTGAAAAAAATAATTCTTATAAATTCATATGAAATTTAATCTACCCTAAACTATATAATCTAAAAATGGCCTTGCAGACATCTCTCTGCTGCAACAACTGACTGCAACTATAATTGACTATACGCCAGAGAGGTAGTCTCCCTTACACTACTTTTATTTAAGGGTCCTCATGCAATGCCCTGGAACACTGCGTGATGTCTCTTATAATGGCTGCAACAGGGACTACAGTAGAAGGAATCCCTAACCAAAGTGATGTGGATGCTTAGGGGTCTGAATTACAAAATTGTGGTCTCACTTAGGGTGTTCAGAAACAAAGCCACTGTTTTTTGCCCATAACATTATTGCTTTGGGTTTTCATGTAGAGAAATTTCTTTTTAAAAAATAGATTCATACATGTGTTGAAGACAGCATTTTTTTATTTCAGCATCTCAGCACAATATTATTGCAGCCACTAAACGCTCTTATTTGGGGTCTGTTTTACCTTTTTAGAGGTCAAATAGTCCTTAGCTATGCCAGAGGATTACTCTGACAAGCATCCTGAGGGCTGTTTGATCTTTTCACAAGGGAATCCCCCCTGGTATTGTACAAGATGTTAACATGTGCCATTCTTTCACAATTTACAGGTCCCGTTCATCTTCTCTCTCTTCACAAAACAAAAAATTACTGTATATTAATGATCACAACTGCAACTTATGCACACTCTTTTTTGCTGAATTGTCTCTAAAATTTTGCAGTTAGGTATGGTAAACCAACAAATTGTATTTATCAGTATGTATCTTTACTTTAGGCCATAGGTTAAAAGGTTATGATGTGAAACATGCTGGAGTAGCTACTCATTTTGTCACAAGTGAAAAGGTAATAATGTTTTGTGTATCGATCAGAAATCACGTTGTTGTGTTGTTTAACAAGGTCAGGATCTTAGTATTGACCTCAGAAATAAATGCTGTGCTAGTCATTGCATGCAAAATAACATTGATCACCCATCCTTTTTTTGTTTGTGAATATCAATGTTATGTTTTATTTTATTTATAACAATCTGGAAGCTAACAGAACTGGAGTCCAGTTTACTTAATCTTGTGGACCCACATGCAAACAGCATACAGGAGGTTCTAAATCATTATGACAAAAAGGTAGGAATACTAAACATTTTTCATTTGTAATTGTATAGTCTGAAAAAGGGAGCCAGGGGTGGAAAATGTCAAATATCAGCATATTAATATTATTAATAGAACCTGAATGGGATCAAACTATATCAACACCTTATCAACTGCGTGAACTGACCTTAGAGTGTATAAAAGCAAGTTAGTCTATTCAATGTAAAAATGTGGCATATTTTTACACCTACTGATGTAAGTTGCTATCATAGGTAGGTGATTTTGTTAGTTTTGGGGGTGAACAAGTACTGACTCCACTTGCTTTACTAAATACCAGCACCTTTTCAAACCTACTCCTGGTATTTTTATCTTTAAATTGTATACATCTTTCTGCAGTGCTCTGAGGAACATAGCAAAGAATTTGTTCTTGAGAAGTTTACCAACCAGATAAACAGGTTAAATTACTTTACACTTTACACTTAAATGATTAAGTCTTTTTTCTGTTGTGTGACGATCTGAACCACTGATCAATTTTGGGGGTAATAATATTTTTCTGCTTAACAGCTGCTTTGATCAATCATCTATGGAAGGCATTATTAAGGCTTTGGAGAAAGATGGCACAGAGTGGGCATTAAAACAAATTGAGGTGACTTTTATTCATATTCTTACAGTCAAAACTTTCCACAGTGGCCACCTTGGGGACAATGGAAAGTGGCTTTTTGAAAAGGTTAAAAAGGAGTGGAGTTAATGTATCCTGGGGAATGTCTAAAGTGGCCATAATATAATAATAACAGTGAAATCCCAACTTACGGCTATCTCATTAATATGACCACCTCATTATTATGGCCACTTTTGTGGCTGCCTGGCAAAAACCTCCTTACATTTTCTTGTAAAAAAACCCTCATTAATATACTGTATGGCCACCTGGTTAATACGGCCAGATTTTTTTGGCCCATTGGTGACCATATTAACAGGGTTCCACTGTATTTGTTTGCTGGTGAAGCTTACAAGTTTTATAAATCAAATTCTTTTCCTAGTAAAGTACATGTAATGTACGTTGCGTCGGTCTCTATAGTTACAGTAAAATAAATGATCAGGGCCCAGTTGTTCAGAAGCTGGATTATAATGCTTTCAACTGGATAAACCATCATCTAGTACGGGGCAACACAGTAAATGGTTTCCCTACTACTTGCAATTGTCTTCAATGGATGGGTATTTATCCAGTGGGTAGCGCTATTCAGCGTTTAAGCAACTGGGGCCTGATTGTAACAGATGGTGAACAATCAGCTGATACTGAAGTCAAGATGTCACTTGCTGCACCTGCACCAGCTAATGTAATACCCATATTATTTTCATTACACCTTCATTCACTGAGTTCATTCAGTTCATTGCCTAACATTTCTACTTATACTGAAAGAGAACCTTTCTTTGACTTTGAAACAAACTCTAGCCTATTTTCAGTAGACGTACATCCTCTTAAAAGTACAGTTTGAAAACAAACATATCCTGGACAAAATAGTACCATGACATGAACTTCTTTGTATGGCGGCAAATTCTTTTGAACGAATACTGTTTCATTGTAACATGCCAACAAGTTCATTACTTTTAAGACTGCAAAATATTAATTGTTACTTTCGTTTACTGTTTTTAGATCTTAAATAGAATGGTAAGTACACCCACTCCTTACAGTTTTTAATGGTAACAACTCAGATTTAATGTCACGTTATATAAATAAATTAGAAAAACAACTTTTCTGTCGCTTAATTTTTGTGGAATCAGTTTTAGACTACTTGAAGATTCTAGTATGTGCATCATCTGAAGAGCACGTTAAGTACAACTATCCACAATCAATAATAAATTGTTCAATAATTAATATTTCTTGAGTATTGGCATCTTGTTTGTATACTGTAACTACTCATCAGAGTGACTTAGAAATAAATCAATTATAAGACCCAGTGTAAATACTGAACGTTTAAAAAATAGCTTTTTTGACTGATTAGTTTTTAAGTATAACCTAGCTGTATAGATATTAGGTTTTAGAATTTTTTTTAACTTAATTTCCTTGTATAAACGTTTTAAAATAGCTTTTTGTAACAGATTAATTTGTAAGTATAACCTAGCAGTGCAAATATCAGAATTACGAATTAATTTTGAACTTTCTTTCTTTACTTGGATACAAGTGTACTTTGTGCTTGCTTCTTATCATTTCAATGTAACATATGTATTATTATTATTATTATTATATTATTATTATTATGTTGTTGTTGTTGTTGTTGTTGTTGTTGTCGTCGCTGGTTGCCAGCAGTACCTTGATCACTTTACCTTGAGACACGACTCAATCCTTAACTTCATTGCCAAGTCACTTCAACCCGTAATTAATGTTCACTCTTCACTCTATGCCGATGTTAAAGGTTTTCTGAATCCGTCAATAATAACTGGTGAAAATTATGGTCCAGAACTTCCTTTCCTAATCCAGTCCAAGTGCCTAAATGTTCTGGAATGAACATTTGGTTTCGAGTCTAACCTTAATAACAATGCAGTGCGTAAAAAAGAAAAATATCTGAACTTGATCAAAGAAATGAGTAGAAATTACAGATGTGTGTACATCTCTCCATGAGCTCCCTTGGCGTTTTCTCCGACGAATGCTCCACGTTCTTAGACATGATGAATGACATGGGCATTGACAAAAAGCAGCAACTTTATATAATCAAGAAAATGATAAATATAGCCTTTAGAGCAACATCTTACATCTTTTGTTGTAGAAATAGGAATTGCGATAGCCCAGACTTAATGCAATTTTGATTTTCTTTTCTTTTCTTTTTTTTGGACAATTTAATCTCAAGCAGTATTTGTAAATTGCCTATACGAAGCGAGATTTTCAATTGTACTTTCAAAAACACAAATAAAGTTGCCATTATTATTGTTATTATTTGGCAGTTTTTCACGTCTGGATGCCCAGTATTATTTTAAAAAAACACAGAAGTTGGGCGTCTGACTGTAACGCAACCCCTGCGTCGTGAAGTCTTTCTTATGTAAAAAATATTTAAATATTAAGAATATCCATATAGTCACAACTGGCTCCTGTAAAGTATCAAAAAATTGTTTCCGTTTGTCCTAAAATTTGTCCATCATTTTACTTCGCTTATGATCTATGACAAAATCGTACTAAAAGTTTCAATAAAAATTTCAACATGCAGTAACAATTTTTTTTTCTAGAAAAAGAACACTTTAGCAACAGTGCTCTTTGTTTAAGCAAGAATTTTGAAACTGTTCGCAATGTTTAGTGTATTCGATATGACATATCTCAGCATTCTTTTTAAGATGGTAGCGCTCTTCTCTCCAACAAGTTCCTTTACTGCATGACTCACATCGGCTGAATATCCTCCCAGAACATCAGTAATGATGTTATACTGTTTGACTTGACTTGACTTTCACTTGGTAGCCAGGCTTTCTCTCTCTCAATTCCCACATTAGTGGACCATATTTCTGTGTCTTCTCCATCTCTTTCACACCGCGGTTATCCAACCAAGGACAGCTCATTTCAATGGCTAACACTCGTTTCTGCTCTTTGTCGACTATACTGGCGTCGATTCTTTTGGCCCTCACCTTCATACTGTCTGCATAAACCGATACATCCCATAATGCCTGCGCACTCCCATTCTCATACAACGGTTTGGGTTGGATCTTTGAATGCCTTGGAGGCACTTCTGAAATAAGTTCCAGGTCCTTCAGCATCTCAAAGAGATACTCAGTCTAAGCGAGTGTCCCACACCCTGCCAATACGTGCGGCATACTTTCCGGCGATTTACCACACTTTCGGCACATGACATTTGAAGTTCCACTCCCTTTTCCAGTTTTCCTTTGGTGGTATAATTTGGTTGGTGACATCTGTTGGTTCAGTTCCTGCATGGTTGCTATGGTATGGGTTGGCACCGATCTCCAGCTATTCATCCATGCAAAACGCCCTTCACTGTCATGGGCCGAGTCCTCCCATCTATTTTTAGTCAGTTTCCCTTGCCATTTCTCTTCTCCCAGTATGCCACAATAAGCTTTTTGTTGTGCCTTGGCAAGAGTGTCCTTAAGCCTTTTTCCTCCTATTTCGTCGCCCTCTTCTGTAGTAACCCTTGGGTTAGGATGCTGTAAAGTCTCAGTTAATTGTAGCTCTGAGGCATACTGTTCAGCATCTTTGATGACTGAGTGATACCCGGTCTGCACTGCCTTCTCTCCAAACTTCCTCACAGCGCTCATGGTCGTATGTGAGTTCTTAAATAACTTTACCGCCTCTTTAATCTTTGTCCTTTATACTCCGCTTCAACTGATCTGAGGCCTCTTCCACCGTTCTTTCTTGAAATGTAGAGTTGTACTACAATCCCAGGGGGTGATTCCCACCATTCTCCACGATAACTTTACACGCTTCTCTATCCAACTGCTGTAAGTCGGCAAGTGGCCATGTCTGGGTCCACATGAAATACATTAAAACTGGTAAAGCATACTGGTTCGACGCAGCAACTCTGTGGTAGTCTGACAGCTGGCTAGACCAGATAATAGATAACCTTTGCAAGTACACCACTGCATTTTGAAGGACGATTCTGTCTTCTTGTTTCCCAGTTTCTAATACTCCCACAAACTTGTAAGAGCCACATTCTTCCAAACTACTAATCACTTTAGCATTGTCAATCTTCAATTCCTCCGCACCTTGAATCAAACACTCTCTGTTCTCATGTGCAACCGCGCAATTCTTCTCGTTCCACCTTAAACCCACACATTCCTTGTCATCCTTAACAGATCTCAGAACTCTCCGTACCTTACTTTCCGACTGTGCAAGAAAAATCTTGGAATTTCTTGTGTTTTGATTTTAAAAAGGGCCTTATGTATTACAAATTTTGTTAAAGTTATGATTAATTGGTAACAGAAGTTACCAATTAATCAATAAGTGTCGTCCAATTCGGTCTGTAATCATATTCGTGCGATTATGTCTGTAATCATACTCCCACGTATAATTGAACTGAAGCTTATTGCTTAAATTGGGCTCACAATGTTTTAGTAGGCAATTTATGAATTTCCTAAAAAAAGGAGCCACATCCTCCCCCCTCCCCCCTCCCCCCTCCCCCCCCACGGGGGGGCAGATCATGGGCGCAAGATAAAATTAGCAGGGCTGCTACGTCAACAGTTTGAAGAGAAAATTCAAAATGGAGGACAAAGATTCACACTCGACTTACTTGAGTGTCTCGTGTGAAGAAGGTCATTCAACAATTTTATTGGCTCATTGTCGTCTTCACAGTTTTAGGTTTTAACTGGGGACAAAGTTATTTAGCAACGCTGGATACGCCGAAAAATTGCATTGAAATGCTTACAAATCTTACTTTTGTTGTATAATTTGCATATTTTAACATCAGATCAGAAAGGTTTTTGTTTGTTTCAAGCAACTTTTGGGCAACTTTCCTTACAATAAGGAATTTTTGATTGTTTTTAGAGCAACTTTTGAGCAACTTTTTGAGAAATTACGGGAAAATTGTTGCAGAATAAATAATTATTTGTACCTTTCGCTTAGGTCTCATTTTTTCCATTTCCTTGTCTTTTAGTCTCCCACATCTTTAAAAATAACATTAAGACAGTTACAAGAAGGAGCTAAGTTAAACCTTGCAGACTGTTTGAAGATGGAATACAGATTAACTCAGCGATGCATGGTAAGAAAATATAAAAATATGCAGCTACTGTATATTCCTAGTAAATAATTAACAATTAATGGACGAGGTTGAGCAAAATATCGTGATTTGTTAGTGGCGAGCAGATCAATTATTTCCCAAAGCTTGAGGTTGAGGCAAATAATTGATCTTCGAGACACCGGCAAATCACGATATTTTGCAAAAACCGAGTTCAATAATTGTTTTACCATTCGATCACCGTGTTTGTTTCTGCGTTGGATGGAGGAGAACGCTTACTGTTCATGCACCGTACATGAGGTAGTAACCGTTCTGTATGCCATGTGGACGCCATCCTGGAACAGCTGGCACATTTCGATCCCATGTGTTCAGTTTTTCTCGCCCGGGAACTAGTCTCTATTTTGTAACACTCGTTCAAAGGTGAAACATTGGCGATTTTCTGTTTGCTACAGGTTTGTTTATCCGATAAACAAACAGCGTTTTCTCGCAGTTTTCAATTAAGTATATATATTTTTTATATGGGAAAAACTCCATTTAAGATAATCGGATATGTAGATACTATGTTAACAATGTATTCTGCACACTGTATTTGTTTTTATGGATTCTAGCAAGATCAGTTTACGACCATATCTAATTCTATTACAAATCTTTTCGCTTTCAAAACCTATTTACAGCGTTGTAGTCGCTTTTGTTTGTCACCAGTTTTAAGTCATACGCGACGCTTTGACATCTTAATCAATGAACTTTTCAGATTACTTTAATTTTCTGTAACCCAATTTTTACCCAATTGTATTGACCATCCTACAGTGCAAAAGAATACCTTGTGGATCATAGTCAGTGTTTGACCTGCTGTTACTTACATGTACTTTACCGAGAGGTTAAGCCAAGTAAATGTAAAAAGTACAGGGCGCTCTTGCATTTTTGAGGAAAATGAAATAGTAACGAATTGTAAAGTGGGCGGACAAACAATAACACTGATGAAGACAGCTGCTGATATTCGTAGTGTTTGATTCTTACAAACTCATCAAGTAGTGCAGCCCCCGCCCCCCTTACGACTACCACTCACTACCCAACCACCTCCTATCGAACGCACTCCCCTAATTTGCAATTAATAATAGTTTAATGAATATCTTCGGGAAGCGAGGAGATCTGTTTTCTTTTTTCACGCAAGAGCGATCGTAAGAAGGAGAAAAGCATAGTTTCATTTATGCATGAGCAGAATATTATTTCAGCCAAACACAGTTGGACGACATTGCGCATGAGCAGACCATTATTTGTCGACAGTTATTTGCAGGTCACATGGTGGGCTCTCGGCCAATGAAAAAGAAGAAATATTTGCGTTGAATAATAACGCCATCTGTTTCTATTGTACCCTAGTGTATCCTGCGGTCAAACTATCTGTGAAGATTTAATATATTTTTCTTTTCTTTTTGATCATTATTCTTTTTTAGGAGGATAACGATTTTTATGAAGGAATTAGAGCAGGTAATAGTTTGATTAGCTTGGCGATTTAGCTTGTAAGAATAATCTACAATGTAATGAGTCCCTATTGATAGTTTGAATGTACAGACAGCAGGTGCGGTTACACACACCATAGTAAAAGGCATTTCCCACGGTAAAAAAAAGAGGCGCGGTTAATTTTAAATTACCGTGGGTTTAAATTACCGAGGTAACATGTGGTTACACATTAATTAATCACTAAGGTAAACAAGCCGATCTTACGCCTTCATTTGCACTATTGCAACCCTATTTCAGTAATAATCGCCGTCGATAATGGCAGGATTTAATGTTCTGTTGACAAATTGACTTATAATTTTAGCACAATTTAATCTTGTATGTTAGTCCCGATAACTGTGCGAAGTTATATACCATTTTTTTAAATCAACGCCTTAGATTCCATTTTAATGTTGGGCCATTTCAATCTTAATTCTTCTCATTTTGTCTTGTAGTTTTGATAGACAAAGATAACAGTCCCAAGTGGAACCCTAGTACTTTGAACGGAGTAACACAGGAAAAAGTGGAACACTACTTTGAAACATTAGGAGATAGAGAACTTGTTTTATAATACTCTAAAAATTTCATGAAACTGGATTTTCATATAGCTGTGGTTTTTGCATATGAATGAAAAGAGAACAAGACAGTGAGGTTGATCCTTAACTCTTCGTATTTCCTGTAGTATACCTAGTATACGTGAAAAATGAAAAGAACTGAATAAAATTAAATGGCGTGAGGTGCCGTCTCTAACGACGTCTGAGGGTGTGACGCGAGCAGCAGACCTAGTGTACTCAGTTACTAGTTTAACAAATAAAGAAGCTGTGCCTGCGCTCTGTTCTGTTGTAATGCACCCAGGAAGCGGCTAGAGCACGAAAGAAGTCAGGGTGTCCAGTTCCTATTTTCTCTATTTTTTTGAGCATATTCCTATTTTTAAACTAAAACCTCCCATTTTCCTTTTTTTTAGCTGGAATTATAGTTGTATGTGTTTTAGAGTAAGGTTTATCGTAAAGCAATTAGTATGTTGACTTTGATGTATTAGCAAAGACAACAAATACATTCGTACTTTCCATGACCTCTGTTGCCTATTAGAGTTCTTTTAACAATTTTGTTATATTGTTACTTTTTGTATAATTTTCTAGTGCACCTACATATACACCGAATACAAATATGGCGGACCTCGCGGCCTGCCCAGGTCGAGTTGCGCGAAAGCGAGGCCTCAAGAGTTTTTCGAAAACGCTGAGGACACACTATCAGTTCCAATCCACTCCGCGCAATATTAGAAACTTATTCAAGATGGCGGAGGGGCGCTTTCCTCTCTTGTCTTTTATACTCGAGCTTATTTCTAACCTAACTGCTTTTTTTTCCAAGCGAATTTAGCTTTGTTAATTCTTCAAGCTGATTATTTCAGGAGGCGGCAGAACATTATCAGTTGACTTTCGCTATCGGTGTCAAGAGGCAGAAGGTTGGATCTCCCTCTAGTTTAACCTCGTTTTTGCCCTGATTTTGACAAGATGGCGCCAATTTATCATTTCGCGGGCTCATAATAGCGAACACGTATGCGTCAAGCATGCGCAGTCGGGTAAGTTATCGTTTTCAAAAAGTGCGGCAGGTTTTTTCTGCAGGTTACAGGTCACGGGTCATAAATAACGTCGGGAGCTGAAATCTAAAGTTAGAAATAGTGTTTTAAAAATCAGCGGCAGTTGCATTTCTAAGAACATCAATTGTGAAGTCATTTGTGATGGCCGTTCACAGCTAAGCGATCGCGCCTTTCGTTTCTCGAGCGCTACTATCTGGAAGCACAGCGACCGCTGAATAAAGGGCTCAAGGGCTCACAAGTTACCCTAGCGTTTATACCTACAGTCAAACCTCCATGTGCGACCCCCTCTGTAAGCGACCACCTCCCATAAGCGACCACCTATCCTAAACACCAAAATTTCCTCAGCCAAAGCGTTACAGTTGGGACCTCTAGTAAACGACCACCTCCTGCAAACGACCGCGACCACTTGTAGGGCCGGACCATTAATGATGTTCCATCGTAAGCGACTACTTGACGTATTCTCTGATCTCTGCGTTCTCTGTTTTCACTATGCTATGTAGAATATACGAAGAGCTTTAGCGACAACATGGAACTACACATGGCGTCAGAAGTTGTATGCAATAAATTATCTTCCATAAAGTAGATGTGCCCGGACCTCTTCTCGGAAAAGGCCCTCTGTGGTCCGATTCTTGTAAGCGACCACTAACTCTGCATTTTACGTCGTCGCTTACGGGAGGTTCGACTGGATTTCTTGCTTGCAAGCGATATATTCGGTGGTCATGTGTTTAAATATAATGACCCTCAAACAGTGACTCTGGATCTTGAAGCAGATAAAAAAAACTTGCAGTCGTGTATTATCAGGTTTAGAAAATCTTGGCTTTGCCTCGAGTTTTTAAAGCTGATAATACACTCAAGCTCGTTTTTTAAACATTACTTAAAAATCTCTCATACAGATCAACTCATTCTTGCCCTAATATTAAAATTTGGGGTTTTTTAGTCTAAGTTAGACGTAGAGTTTAGTTTTGTCTTTATCAGATGTAAAGACACTCACTAAACATTAATTTCTTTTTTTCTTTATGAATTATTAATACGTTTTTCAAAGGTACATTCCAATGGATTGTTTACAAACTAGACCCCTCTGCTCCCTAATTGACTTGTGACCTGCAAAAAAACCCTGCCGGTATTCGTGTGGACGGGCGAAAACGATGCGAAACACGCTACGAGTGGGTGCGAATATTTTTTGAAAACGGGGAAAAAAAGTTGCGTTTTGAAACGGCGAATACGGATACGTGTGGATAGTGCCCAACTCCTTCGGAACTCACAAAATTTGACTTTTCCGACAATTCTGTGTCCAAGAATTCAGCGCAGATACAAAACCTCACGAGCTGGCACTGCACTGGCGTAAACTTGGTAGATTGTAGTGTGTCATGTATAGAGCAGAATTCTAAAAGAGCGCTTTTATAGAAAAATTTAAGGCGTTACTTTCGGGGATGACAGATTTTGTTCATTTAACGATTGCAACTTGCTGGCAAACTTTAAATTGTAAAATCTGCTTCTGTCGTGACACACTAGCAAAATCGAGTCTTACGTGGATGATTCTGAGCTCTTCTTAACATTTTTTAACAAAGATACTGATTCCGGCCTCGAGGCTCTTCAACGTCATCTGCAACGCGTAGCATAACCATCTGTTGATAAATCCGGATAAAACGAAGTTCTGTGTTTTTGGCACCGCCTCACCTTACAGCTAAGAAGAACGCCAGTACCCTCTCTTGTTTTCCTAGTTAAAGACCTTGCCCCAGTAGATGTAGTTAAAGACCTGGGTGTGTTAATCGATAAGCACCTTTCGTTTAGCGACCTTACAACAGACATACACGTAAGAGTGTCAAGCTCCAAGTTCCGAAATGCCGTACCACCTTACCTTACAACTCTTTTATGTATAGATCTACTATCTTTTTACTCGTTGCCTAGCAACATTCGTGACTCGCCCTCCCTTTCCCAGTTTACATCGTCAATAAAACACTTTTTGCTGGAAAAGTGGCTCGAGATATTTTTATTTCTTAGAGTGATCTTACTTGACCCATGAAATAGATATTAACAACTACTGCAAAATAGCTACTATTAAGCAAAACAAGATAATTAAATTAGTGCATAATAGTGCGTAGTATTCTACTACCTATTTCAGGGGTTAAAAGAGCTGTGTCACGAAATTCAGCCAAATTAGGTTAATGCTCGTTAAATTAAAAGAAACGTAAAAATAACCGCTTAAAACATTAAGGGAAGGTTAAAATAACACAACAGATGCCAAGGATGGGCAAAACTGAAGAAGATTGAAACGGACTGAAATAAGGGTTTTTGAAAACTGTTCAGCCTAACAGTTTTTCAAAGTTTATCTCTGCTGTTTGCAGCTTCAAAAATAATGCTCAGGGGACATATTTGTTTGTGTCTAATCTCTGATTTTGTCATTTACATGTAATTTCTTTGCCTACTTTAAGTTCCACAGCAATTGAGGGCGAGTAATTGGCAAAACAAAACAAAATGAACTGGACTGCCGTGACACAGCCCATTTAACTAAAATCACTCTATCTCTTGTTCAACAATATTGTACGTTTTATTGTACGACTTTTTTTGTAATTTTAATGGTCTTATAGTTGTAAATTGTTTCTGAAAACCCTTTGTGGGAGAATCAATAAAGTCATTTGTATTTTATTTGTACTAGAGGTTTTAATAAAATCACAGAGTGCTGTCTTCTTTTCGATGCCCAAACTTGGACGCAAAATCACCTGGCTTAAAGGATTGCCGTAGAGCGCGATCTACAAACTTCCATCAATTCTTCAAAATCATTAATAATTCGTGAGCCCATTAACCTATCAAATGGTCGATAATACATTACGTGCAGTGACATAACTGATAAAACCTCCCCTTATTTTATCAGATATAATGTCACTACACGTGATACACACAGATACACTAAACTAAATCTGAGTCTCGCTACAAGAATAAGATAAAAAAGAACAATCACACTGCGCCTGGTTTTCTGGACTTCCCTTGCAACAGAATCGGCCGGGTGTAACGACAAGCGCAGAGCGTTACGATTAAGCAAAAATCCTATAAACGGAGTCCTAAGCAGAATATTCATTCACTCATATTGTAAGGTATAATAATCCGAAAGGAGGGTGCGCGTTTCGCAAGAAGAATCTCAGTTTTCGATCACACGTATTGTGTCTAAGTTTTAAACGTACCTACTTCACAAAACTCGATTACAGAAAACAGCAACAGGGTAAACAGTTTGTACTGATACAAAGCTATCGTCCGTTGCGCACATTTAGTCGCACGTATCCTGCAGCATGGATGCAAATTTAGTATTTAACTGATGGTGAACAGTTCGATGTGATATTTTAAATACCAGCCAGTTACTGAAGCAACGTTTGGTGAGTTGATATTCCTAGTACTTTAGCAATTTGTTTATTTTGCACCAGATGTCCGAAGGAAAGACAAAGAAAAGTGAATCTATAGTATGAGTATCAACTCGGCTATGCACACACCATTTCGCGTTTTCATTAATGTACAGCAATAACCAATTTCGCACAAAAAATAGTCTAAATTTAGGATTAAAAGAGTAGATTCTGGGTACGGTTACAATGAAGCATTCAAAATAGCTCATGCACGTTAAACGTGCCTATATTTAGTTTTTGTGAGGAAAACAAGAATCCCAAAAATCCCCCCTTTTTTCGCTCCAAACTTTTGTATAACCATTATTTTTAATTTTTTCTGGGTATTTAAGACAAAGCTTATGCAAAGTTTTGGGGGGCAAACAAGGTGTGCAAGTGGATAAAGGTGGGGGCCGCGTGGTTCCTGCGAGCTTCCCCCTTCTACCCTTTTCCAGCCCCTGCGCGTTTCTGCGGTAAGGCACTCATGGAAGAGAAATGTAAAACGATCACGTTCGTTCCACCGTGGGATATCAATACTGATGAGGCATTCGTAGCGGGGATATGCATATTCCTTGTCTGGATTTCAAAAGCGGTAGTTTGGCGTATTGAAGAGGAGGCCATGTCGTTGCGTCGGTATTTTACTATTGTATTGGCAATTTTTCTCGTCGCTGTCGCAGTTTCAACCCATCTTAAGACTTAAGGTCGTTTGTCGCCATTTTATCTCGTCTTATGTCGCTGTTTCAAGGCCATCTTGCTTGTTGGAATTTTACCCTAACAGGGCCTTTAACTCGGCTTTACAGCTATCAGTTTGCACACTGGATATTTGCCAAACTGAAATTTTGGCTGTTGGCAGCTGTTGTTACCAAACATTGCTAAATACCTTTGCAAACGTTCCTCCGTTACAAGCGATGGATCAAACACCCCGTGCGTTGTCGACCAGTGCCAATTAAGAAGGCTTTCGATAGTCTCAAAGACAAGTTCTACATCGCAACTTTCGTAACTCTTGATAATTTTGAAGCCCGCGAATAAACAATACTGCTCGATCCTGGATTTCGGTTCGAAATGAAACATCTGGAGGATACACTCTACGTTTTCAGGATTGAGTTCTTTGTATGCATTCAGTAAAAACGGAGGTATATGGTCATTGTAGTGTATCGCTATTTTCCCACCAACTTTAAGACTTGAAAACATGTCTTTAAAGACTTGCTGTTTTTCAGGCATCCAGTGAAGAGCAGCGTTGCAGAAAACAATGTCGTATGTATTTGAAGCCATTCCGAGAAAGCTCGAAGAACTCCTTCTGCAAATGATAGATTTTTAATATGACCATGCGATTGCCGGGCCAGCTGAATTCGTTCCTTATCAGGATCGACACCAATAACCCTCCCTTCGGGCCCTACCCGCTCAGCTAGGTATACGGACAGCTCTCCTGTACCGCAGCCTAAATCCAAGATTACATTTCCGACCTGAGGGCAAACATCGGTTTGGATGAACGCCTCGCCGCCTCTTTTTTGATAGGAAAACGAAGCTTGTTTGTAACCGTCAGCTGCACTGCTACTGAAAGACTTTGCCATTAACCCGTATAGTTTTCTGCTTTGTCCTATGGTTTCTTTGAAGTATTACAGTGAGGCACATTCTGCAAGACAATTTTCAGTGGTTAAACAATGCGAGACTGCTAAATCGTTGATGTAAAAACGTCCTCGCAAGATCGAAATTAGTTTAACTAAATTGTGAGTTCAAAACATCGGCAGCGGAAAAAACGCTCAAAATATTTCGAAAAAGGTTGTCGGAAAAAGTGCACGCGACAATCTCGAAAGGTATTGTGGGTGGTTTTGAATTCACTGTTTTTCAAAGAATTTTGAAAGAATGACACGAGAGGCCATGGACTTGCGAGTGCTAAAAGAAAGCAGCAAAAGTAGGTTTGACAGCTACAGTGTCACGAACAGAATATTGATCATATCCCATAATACCTTTCAGGATTGTCGCGTGCACATCTTTTCCGACAACCTTTCTCGAAATAGCTGTATGTATACCCCACTTGAAGATCGAAA